CTCGTTATCGGCTATTCAGATCTAACAGACATGTTGTGTTCATTTAGTGAGATACACAGTCGATATGAACATAATCTCCCTCTACTAACTATGATATGATTGTCTTGAATCTCATAGCTGATCATAATTACGTGCGCTGCTTTTTGGCTAGAGAAGACGTATACATAACGGTAGTCACGTGGAATCACTTAAAAAATTAGGGAACCACGTTAAAATTTACATTAACCCCCATCAAAACACCGAATGAACGTGAAAACTACTTAGGGAGAAATATACAAAGATATAGGATATGTTCTCGAAAATTGGACTGATAAAAATGGAGGAAATTTGAAAAGTTGAATCGCATGAAAGTACAGCAGGAAGCCCACGCTGGTTAATTATTTTGTCTTATAATTGAAGGAAGCCAATTTTATTATTTTCGTTATTCGCGATTAGTGCAATTCAATGTGGAATTCTCTTGACAGTCAATGAATTTTACCACAAAAGCCTCCATGCTTTCTGTAGCTTCAATGTTCAATTAATGGAAATTCTAAGAGTTGTATCACAAGATACATCTAATTAATACTGATATCTCGTGTACCCAGCTTCTATGTTTAACCGATAATGATTTTGCAATTGGGTTTATGTTTTCTCAAATTTTAATAAACTCAAATTTATCTTCCTCTCACCTTTCAATTATGTGTCTTTGATATAACTTATATTGGATTTTGCCAACGATGTTTGGATAATTGAATCCTAGGTATACCTAGGTAACCAAATCRAAGTACAGAAATGCGTATTGTTCTGAAAACTGTTTTGTAGGTTTGGAGTCGCGGAGCCGGTTATACACCGCTGCGAATAATAAAAGGATCGGTTCGAATCAACGAATTTAGAGCACGATGATAAATTACATTGAAATCAAAGCCAATGTCTTCTAAAGACCCAAGAGTGCGAGCTTGGATGGTTGCCAGTCATTCTTAACGAACAAAGCACTCCAACAAAAGAAGCTTTCTTACATGGATGGCTTGCTGTTTGTATGACAAAGGCAACAAACGGGAAATAATAATTTCTCTGTGTCCCAAAGAGAAGAGGATTAAAACCAGTGGTAGTCCACAAATGCACAACATATTCATAAACTAATTTTTTTAGAAGTTTTATTGTATAATCTTTACGAAATTGAAAAGAACATTGTCATACATTGTCATATTTGCGCCGATTTGTAGTTCTGATAACACACCAGAGAGGACACCATAAATAAGTTCCCCTTTTCCTTCCTGCTAGCCATGTTCCAATAGACTTCAAAAGTCTAAGTGAATAACYCCCAACCAAATATTAAATACTATTACTATTTTATCTAGAAAAATATATAATCATTTATYTGCTCTATTACTTTTTATGTACAAATTTAAGAATATAGTGTGAGTTATTTATCTATATACGATTGTCTATTACCAGGTCTGGTTAACTCCCAGGTCCAGCTGTCTTTACATGCTAATGATAGATACGCCTTCTATTGATTTCCTTAGCGTAAAGACGCCCAATTGCTTACATAAATGAACGCGGTCATCTTATTTCGTGCTTAGTTGACCTAGTAGTTGTATATAATGATTGTGTATTAGCCTCGACAATTGTGTAATATCTTTATGAAGGGTTTCAAAAGTCTGATCTTGTAGAAATTTCTCGAGCTGGCAACATCGTGCGTGGGTTGGCACATTGTAAAGTGGCGAAAACAAGTTTTGTATTTTCAAATGCACTTCCTAGGCCCRAGTAAATTGGTGGCTTACTGAGTGAATGAGAATGTAAACGTAATAGTTAATTCAGTTACAAAAATATTGCATCCCTTGACAGTTAAACTTCGAAAATCGACCAAAATGGCGATGAAATTTTGGAAGAATTGAAACTTATTTAATTTAAAAAGTATTTTTAATCAGTAAAAGATACTGACCTATTCAAAGAATATGTTGGCATACTTTAAACACCTTCCATGTGATCCAATCAAAAACTTTGGAATATTTCAAATGAAATGGCTTTGTTTTTCAGTATGAAAAACTTCAAAGACGTAAAARTTATTACATGTTTCGATAAATGGTAGTGCGACCTTTTACAGAACTATAACTAATCCTTGAAAAATAATTAAGTGCAAGTGCTTAATGAAACTCCTAAAGCCGGATAATGATTAAAAAAAACCGTGGGCAATTGTAWCTTATATATCTTATATATGACTAGAATGGTCAACTGAAAAAAGTTGAAAGTAATTTTTAGCACTTTACAAAAGTTTTGGTTTTTGACAAAAACGTTCTTTTAAACTACAAATAATTTTGTTCAAATCGATGATTACGTTGTCCATTAACGGACATAAATTGTGAATTACCTCACTAACATATCATGTGCAAATAATTAAATTTTAAGAATAATGAWAACTAATTTCTAAGTCCTAAGTGCATGGGATATCAAAGAAATTAAAAATGTGCTTACATTATATATATTCCAAAAATACAAAAGGGTGCACTAAGTTACTAAACTATAAATGATTTTTTGATATTGATTTTATGTTTCTAAGCTTTTTAATCCTACTTTACTGGTTTATTAATGAATTTTCTTTCGAAAGTCTTTGTATAGTGCAAAATGCACCAAATTTGAATTGATTTTTCAGCGCCATATTTAACAGCTACATTTTTCATTCCATGGCAATGAAGAGTATTTCTTGTATGTTATTCTCATAACTACTGATTTAGGCYCATCGAGCCGTAATAATTATTGAATCCCATTGGGTTTGTCCTAACCTGGACTGGACCTGGGTAAGGAACAATTTCTGGTAGTTCCATGAGTAATGAGTTGATATGGTTCTGCTGAAGAACGCTCATYCCACTGTGAGCCTAAAGAAGAAAATCAAAACAAACAAAAGTTTAAAAAATATCATTAATGAGCAACTACATATTTATTTTTTACTCTTAAATATGAAGTATCCGTAAAGCACAGCAAGGTAGGTAGGATTTTTGAAATGTTACGCAACGCGCAGTTCGATTCTTGCATTTACATATCTGACAAACAGGATTCTCACTTCACTGCTTAAAGAAATCACGGAATCGCGGAGCTTTGAAGTCAAAGAGCGTCAAGCAAAACCGCCAAAACGGGCGTGTAGTACATAAGGAACTTTATTGTCGATTGCTTTCTCATTCTTCAACAAATTAAATCCTCAACTTCTATATTTTACATTATAAAAATCAAACTCAGCTGGGAATTTCTATTGCTGTCATTTCTAGCGATTTGATTATTTTAACTCGATGCCTCTTGAACCATTCAAAGATAGCGAGTTAAACACTGGTGAACTTATGACGCATATGAAGTCAAGAATTCCTTGTAAATGGTCAATATATCAAGCTATGTAAACAAAATTAAAAGCACAGGTTGTGTTTTAGGTTATAAAGAGAATTTATTCGATACTTTTCGGCATGGGTTGTGCAATATCCTGTACAAACTAGGTGTGGCCTGCAYGTAGATTTTGACCTCAGTTGGTCAAGAGTGAGCTTCAAGCGAGCAGATTTATTTGCATATAGTCTTTCTATTAGAGTTCCGCTTGACGAGCACTGCACAATGGAAAAATCAAAGATAATCACAAAAAAGCGAAAGAACTTTGAATCTCGGTGTTCTATATAAATAAATCTACAAATCCGTATTTAGCTCCAGTCCTGGCACGTGGCATAAGTTGGAGCACAAAAGCTTACCGAAGAAAATTGTTTCGTTCTGCCCGATGAATTTAGCACAGACCCAATTATTCATGTTAGTAAACTTCAAGATCAAAGTTTTAAAAGTTTTAAAATATCAATTACGAGCTACTAAATACCTTCGTGCAAATAAAATTCTGGTTTTTGAAAAGGTTTTTGACACTGTAACATGATAATTAAAGTAATTTATGATAATGGAGTATATAACTATCGTACTCTTAGTTTGGAAAGGGCTTATCAAATCACATTGGCTTTTGCAGTTAATTTCGCACTGTCAATTGTTGGACATAAACATCCTGGGGTTGCTCATGGAATRAGTTTGCTTCTTTTTAAGTCTGATATTTTCCAAAGTACTCTTACATACTTCCGTTCTTATGATTTGTCTACTCCCGACATTTTACTACTTATCAATTTGAAACMATACCTGTATTTTGTAGGCTTCTTGGAACCATCCAACTTGACGCATCAATCTTCGCTCCCTCTCGATTCTATGGCTTTCATTCAACACTTTCTGAAGGTGTCTGATGTACTCAATAGCAGTACGAAGTGTATCTACTTTGGAGAGCTTTTTGTTCATTGGTGTCGTTGGAACATGCTTTCTTAAGGTTGCGAACCCATCACTGACAAGCTTAACTCGATTCCTTTCTCTTTCATTTCGGCGTAGTATTGAAACATGCTCTTTTTTGATGCACTGCGGTGTGTTGCACTTGGCGCTGTGCTTGCTGTTCTTTTTACTAAAGCATGAGGAATGCTTATTTGGAGGCCGCGAATCCGTAGACCCGTTGGTTGATTGCGATGAGGCATTAGAAGCTGTAGACATTGGTGAGTCCAGCTGAATATCCAGGGAAGTCGGTGAGCTCAAAGGCGAGTACTCCGAACTTGAAGTAGGCGAAGGCGTTTCATCACAACTAAGCTCAGACAAATCAATATCACCGAGATTTGGCAACGGAAAGTTTTCTTCCAGTGATACTTCCATTTTGGAATGAGAGACCCTGCGACTTGGATGAATGTAAAGCTGTTTTCTCAACCACGTAAATGSTGCGTCGAGCTTGCCTCGCGCCTTACAATCCAAAAGTACTGCATCTACTCCCTCAATCGAGTGTCGCCCTACTAAGCACACTGAGACGCGTGGAGTACATAAAAAGATGTTAGTGCTTCCTTTGGGATTCACGGTAGACTGCTCAAGCTTTGAGAGGAGGAGCGAGCGAGACGGCTGGACAATGGATTCTAGGGTTGGTTAAGTGGCATAAAAGCGACCGACTTATTTGTATGGACTAATCTTAATGTCAAAGGAGTCATTTGTGTAGCGAGCTTTTTGCGTGGCGTTCGCGTGGCTAGAATTGTAATTAGCACTAAGAAACAATGACATAAAGCACTGTCACTGACCGCATTTAAGCCTTCGAGAAGGGTCAACACTGAACTTGCTTGATGGCAAARTTATCATCACGGGCCACTTTTTTAGAAAAGCAACGCTTTTAAATTGAAATAATGATTAGAATCCAAATAAAACACGATTCAGATTATTTGGGCACTTTCCAAAAAAWACTACATTTATTTTTAAGCATAAAAGAATGTTATATTGAAGAAAAATCATTTAAGAGCAGTTTTGCAAAGAAGAGTGGTGGATAAAAATCAACTTGTAAAGAAATATTTGACTGACTGTTTTTTGCAGGAAAACGAAATTGCAATTCGATGACGCATTTTGAATGGTAAATGTACTTAATAGATAACAAGAAAGTTTAGAACTCAGTGCTCTCTGAAGGTCATTATCATGCAAATATCGTTAATATTTGTCCTTTTTAACGAATTAACCAAGTTATCTTACGAATCAACACGAACACTCAACCCAAAAAAGCAAGCATAAACATTTGCTGCAAAGTTTTGGTATTTTACCTTTAGATGCGCAAGTTTGTGTAGGGATGCAGAATAAATACAATAAGAAAGAAGTCAATGTGTGCCTTAAATTCCTGTGTGTGGATTGTCAAATTACACTAAAAGAACAACCAACAATAAAATATTTGATTTTCTAAAGACCAAATACCATTAAGATTGTAATTTAAAAAAGGAGTAAAAACAACTACTTTGGCAAACTCAATCTTTTATATTTCTTGGATAATTCAAATGGTGCTATTACTAGATTTTTATTAGCAGTAACGYTTTCAAATAAAAGCAAAGTAATTCATCATCACTTTGAAAAAGATAATTGATTGATAGCATGTAAGCTAGGGCGTGAGGAATTGTTTAGAGAATGAATATCTTAGCGCGTGCCTACACACTTAAGTCAACTAATAAATAACAGAATACGCAGACCCTTCTTCAAGTCAAATTAGCTCAGCATGGAAGGTTAACATTCCTCGAACTGAACTGCAAACAACAACTTCAATCGYAGAATATAAGCCGAGGAAAGGCATACTTACAATAGAGTTAGAATCGGAGCTAATGCTAATGAGACGGTTCGTGTGTCTTGTGCACCCCTTCTTGTGTAAATAAGCTGGACAAACCAAGGTCAAAGTGAATTAACACAGCACTCGTGCCAGTTTAACACACATACACACACATAAATACATAAGTTAAATTCTTGTCAAGGCAAAGAACTATAGGCGCCAGCCACAAAGTCCTTTCAATATCAATACAATTATCTGAGATCGAAGATAAGAACATAAGACAATACCAAAACTTTTCACAAAGAATTTTTATAAATTCCAATTCACGAACCTGAATTAATTGTTGACTTATACACATTTCTCAATCTCTAAGTTTTTGAAAATTAAGAAGTTTCTATCTTTAGTAGCAGAATGTTGACTCGTATGTACCACAACCCAATACTTTATTTTCTAGGACAGCACACAATCATTTTRTTTTCGAGGCTTGAATTATGTATGATCTGTAAAGAATGCTCAACCACTAGGACAGTTTGTACAAGTATTTGAACACGAACGTGTAACATTATTTTCAACAATCTCTCTGATCCAAAMTTACAAATTCATGCACTTCGATGAAAATCGTTTGGATATTAGACAATGTTTGTGTCTTTATTCTAAAYGCTACGCTTGACCTCTGCTCTTCCATAAAACCTCACCAAAAACAAGGCATTGTTTCTAGATTATCGTGGTTTGGAAGTATTCCTAACTTCGAATTAGCTTTACAGAATAACCAGAGTCTCAAAATCTTAGTGATTTTTGAACGAAAGGTAACGAAATCATTCGACGGAATCAAAAATAACMTTAGTGATCAAAGAGTACCACGTGTCATTGCTTGGCCCAAGTGCAAAATACTTCGATCATATTTATGAGTTTTTTTGTATTATTTCTAAGCTGTAGTTGCCGGGATTATTGAAGTCAATGTGTTTCCTTTGTAATTTGGCACACTGAAACTTAACGCTAAATTCATTTTGGCGCGTGCCTAAGGATTCTTCAGTACTGAGCACCACTTCTAAGTAACACCCGTGCGGAACATTGGGCTTATATTTCATTCTACACTGACAAAGTTTTTAGTCTACTCTTGCTTCAAACAATTCAATAAAGAGAAAAAGTTTGTTCACAAGCATAACAGTATGCATAGCAACGATCGTCTAGCTTCGATAATGCTCGGGCCGGGCGCTTTATATATGATATATTTTATTCTTAATTTTTAATGATTTCTTATAACTTCACGACTACATGATCACTCGTACCAAAGTAAATCTTTAAAATATTAGTTGATAAAAGAAATAATACCACATTTCATTAAAAAGCTGAGATGAAAAAAGARTCTTTGATAACCTCAGTTACATCTAATAAAGCCTCTTTCCAAGCTTAGAGGTGACAATAAACAGACATGGACAGAGCATAACGATAGTGTTGGGGCAGTGACACGGCCGGCGGCCGAAAGTGAGCTCATTTACAACTTACACTGGATCCCTTACACTGATTGGTGATAACTGAAGGCTAAACAGTGTCAGAAGMCAAACAAAACTTTATCTTTTACTGA